AATAAAATAAAGGGCTGTCCTCTTTTATATAGTAGAAACGAATAGCATTTAGTCATCTGTATATCAAAGACCAGAGCACAGTGAAGCTTGGGTGCGGAATTCCATGCTTCTCCTTCTACTCTTGGTACCCATTCACTCGAATACCCTTTAGCTATTCTTACAGGGTATCTCCCATTGACACCCAATGAATACTAAAGTGGAAGCACCTAAGGGGTCTTTGTGGGTCACTCTGCTGCCTTGGGCAGAATCACATCCCAGAGAGCCTTAGGGTCTGTTTCCCTCACAGAAATCTAAATAATTGAAAAGGCCCATGGAGTGCCAGTAGGTTTCAAACTGTTCTGATCTCTACAGTATTTTGAGACACTCCCTCGACATGGTATCTGGGCTATGTCTGGCCTAAGACACACACAGAGAGAGAGGGAGAGAGAGAGAGCACAAAACCCATGCACAGGAGACTATTCCATCTTCCCCCAAATCTTCTATAAATTGCTGTGAGAAATAAAGCAGGTAAATGCTTACTTCATGGAAAAGAAAGTTTAGACAAAACTTGAAGACATATTGTGTAACCTGAGCCCACTAATTGCTACGAATACTATTAACTTCATCTGCTATTTCTTGGGCCAAACTTAGAGCTATTGGTATGAAGAGGTCTTTCTTTAAAAAATTAGAAATTCTGTTACTTTGGGTCACTTAGATTGATGATATTCAGTCATGCCAAAAGCCACTTAGCTATCAAGGTTATTAGGAATTATTTTCATTCTTTCATTCAGCTGAGTGCTGAGCAGAGAGACTCAGACTCTGGCCTCAGGAGTCACAGCGCTCCCTCACAGTCCGAGGCAATCATGGGACAGTGTGGTGGTCAGGCTGGATGGGAGAAGTCCAGGCTGCTGGACAGGCAAGGGCGAGGCACCTGCACCTGGCTTGAAATGTCTTGAAAGGCATCTTCGAGGATATAGCATCTCATCTAGACTCAAAAGTACAAGTTTTGACCTTCAAGGTTTGGTTAAAATGAAAGGAAAACATGTTAAATGACTTAAAAATTTACTTGAACCAGTGGCTCCATTTCTAGAACATTTCCTAAATTCTATGGGGACTCAATCTGAGGGGGTGGGGGGAAGCAAATATTGTCTAAAAACGTAAAAAAAAAATTGATAAATGTTAAAATAAAAAAAATTAAAAAATAGAATATTTCCTAAAGAATAAATGAGTGGAATGTTCATCACAGCTACATTTATAGTAAGAGAGAGGAAAATAGAAGACTCTGGAAAGGCAACATAATTAACAATAAGAGATCCTATAAAAGTCAAAATGCACTCAGATGACTAGGTATAAATGCAGCCACTAAAAATCTTGTCGATCAATATCATGTGCTATGTGAAAATGTTCACTATAGATTCATGAAAGAAAAAAAAATTCAGAACACAAAAAGATGCACGTCTGTCTGGAGCCTTGCAATCCAAGAATAAAGCAGTCCGTGAACCAATAACATCACCCAGGGCCCAGTTAGAACGTGAATCTCATCCCCATTCAGACCTATTAGATCAAAATGTGCATTTTAAAAAGACCCCTAAAATGCTACAACTGCTAATCATCTGCAGTGGTTTCCGCTGGCCTCTGGAATTATGAGGGGAAAAAAAAAGGCAAGGTGCTGAATTTTCAGAAAGTTAAATATATTTAATTTATAGCGTTGTTCTTTACTCTGAGATTTTAATCTTGATTTTATGGCATTTAACTTTCTTTTATACAGTGATGGTGATTTTTGGATGGTTAGGTTTTGTTTGTTGTTTTGCTGCTGTTTCGGTGGTCTCAGTTAACAAAATAAACAGTTGGTATGGTAATCCTATGTGCTGTTTTTTGAAATTTTGCTAGGAAATCTGGGAATCATGATGAATGCCAACACAAATGACTTTCAAGTAAAATATTATGTGTGGGTATGTGGTTTGGGTACGTATAAAAATTGCATGTAAACCATGTAAATTGTGTGCATTAATTACAGGTAAACCTCCGACCTTTAGGAGGTGGGACTGTGCACTCTTTCAGTATAATCTTCTCTGTAATCTTTTCTGTATTCAGCATCTTGAGAAATAACTTGAAGTGGAAGCTGGAAGAGCCTACAGAAGGCAGATGTTTGGCCTCGGTAGTTCGGGAACCTGTGTAAATATTATTTAGGAGTCCTGATTTTTTGAGAATGTGTATGGACAATTGATGCAGTCAGTCTGTGTCTTTTTATTTTACTTTATTTTTATGTTATATATTTTTACATCATTTTTCATTTTTGCACAATGTATGCATTTTCATCTTGGTTATATTCCCCACACAATTCCCACCCCCCTTGTTTTGATCCTACTCCTTTCTCCCCCCCAGGCCCCTAGTGTGCCTCTGGTTTATAGTTGCTTGTTGATTTTGATTTTTACTTTATTATAATTAGGTTTTTTCCTGGTCCTTTATTTAGGTTTTCTAGATTCCTGCTATGAGTGAGACCATCCAGTATTTTTCTTTTTCTTTCTGGCTTACTTCGCTGAGCATGATCCCTTCTAGCTCTATCCATGTTGCTGCAAACTGCATGTGTTTATCTTTTTTGACTCTGGGTAATATTCCATGGTGTATATGCACCACATCTTCTTGATCCAGTCATCTATTTTTGGGCATTTGGGTTGTTTCCAAAGCTTAGCTATTGTAAACAGTGCTGCTATAAACATAGGTGTGCAGGTGCCCTTTTGATTTAATGATTCTGTGTCCTTTGGGTAAATACCTAGGAGTGAAATTGCTGGATCATATGGAAGCTCCATCTTTAGCAGGTTGAGGAATCTCCATACAGCTCTCCATCGTGGTTGGACCAGTTTGCACTCCCACCAGCAGTGCAGGAGAGTTCCTTTTCTCCACATCCTCATCAACATTTGCTGTTGCTAGTTTTTTTAATATGTGCTATTCTCACTGGTGTAAGATAGTGTCTCATAGTAGTTTTGATATGCATTTCCCTGATTACAATGATGTTGAGCATTTTTTCATATGCCTGTTGGCCATTTGCATTTCCTCTGTGTCTTAATGAAACAGGAGGCCTGCAGCTGCTGTGCCACAGGGTGTGACTGGCCTCAGTACTGGTCCTTTGGAGGACCAGCCCTGGAGAAAACTGCAGAGCAAGAGGCCCATGAACAGCACCCCAAGTTCTGGTGCTGTTCACATGGCTGCACTGCACAGGTAGGGTCTGGGCAACAAGCTGGGGTTTCACTATTTTTTTTAAAAGATTTATTTATTTATGCACACAAGAACTGGGGTATAGGCCAGAGATGTGGGGGGTGAGAGGATTCACCAGAGACAGAGTGGGGAGCAGAACAGGCAGACTCACTGAAATACGACGCTGCTGAGGGGAGCAGCGAGCCATGAGAGGTCTGCTATGCCATGTGGGTCACCTCTCTGACCAGGGATTGAACTCGTGCTAAAGTGGCTGTGGATAGCTTCATAATGTTGCGTCTTAACCCCTTGTGCCACCAGGGAGGCCCTGGGGTTTCACCTTTATATTTATAAAGGTCCATAATTCTAAATGGACCAATCAAATTCAAGGTCCCACAGGTGCCAAAGAAGGTTTTTAATACTAATCAGTATATAAATGGAGTAAGATGTGATTGTCAAAGAGAAGGTAGAAGGAATGGATGTGTGGGCTTGTTTATGAAAAAGAAAAGAAAAGTTTTGTCTTAAGCTGAAACTAGAAACAGAAAAAAATAAAAGACATAAGACACAATGAGAAAGGAAAAGGAAAGTTGTAAAAGGTTTATGAGAAAGGAATCCTGGGGAGTTTTCTTACCTATGATTACTTACATATGATCAATCTGGGTAACATTTAATAAATTTGTTGTAAGGTTTGAAATTAATCCTTAATATCTTAGTGTACTTACATAGTAACTAAACCTCCTTTTCTTCCACTTGATAAATGGACAAAGTTCTCTGCTTTTGATAAGATGTCATGAAAGTTTTCCCCTTCCCTGAAAGCACCGAAACATGTATTTTCAAGATAATTTCATGTGCACTTGTTCTTATCAGCAGGCCCTTTGTGTAACTTACAGAGCTAACTATTATGAGTTGTAAGAGATTCCTTCCCTAGCCCATTCTCAGGAGATGAAGATATCAGGTGGCATCACACAGATACACACACACACACACACACACACACACACTCACTCCTGTCTCATCTTCCCTTTTGGAAAGTGCTCACATTTTTATATTCTGACAAAAAATAAGATTCCAGAAATAAACCTGGTTCTTAAGTGCACAATAATAATTAGTTAGTTAGTTAAAAAATGGGCTTCCCTCTGCGTGGTCTACCAGTTCTTCCTCCAAGACACCCAACTGGTCTGTAAACCCTAAACTTCTCCGTGTATTGGCGCTTCTGCCAATGTTGTTTTCTTTCTTAAAATAGATATTTATTGTTAATTTGAAAGTTCAGACTTAATAGATACTGTCAAAGAATCTTGGACAATGATCTAACCATGTCTCTCCCACCCACTCATCTTCAACTTCATCCTTTCTTTCTGTCAGAAAATGCCCAACGTTCATGAGATCCTCAGACGCTGAGGAGGCTAGACCTGCACCACACTGGGGCGCTTGTTCCTCGTTGTCTAGTAAAGCAGAAGAACACGTATGAGAGTTGAGAATATTATCATCATGGTCTTCTCCTTTTATCCATTATTGTTAATATCCTCGTTTCTCTCCTTTTCAGTTGATTTGAAATTTCTGTACTTTGAATCTTATCAATTATCAGTTTTTCGGTTTGTTTGATAAAATCAACATAATCAAAATGGCTCCACATGCCTAATACTTTTAATCCTACCACATCCTCTTTGACATGGAAAAATAAGTTCCTGGTACAAGCTTCCCCTCCTCAGCATCCACTGGAGCCTACCAACCCACTGGGTTTGTCACCACCCCTCCAGCAGCTCTTTTTATAAGGTCAGCAATTGCATCACAATTCCTGTAACTGATTTCTCTGTGGTTCCCCAAGTCACTCTTGGGTATAAGCAACAACCTCCAGGCATGTCCTACTGAATCCCAATTTTTGAACCTCCTGTCAATGTCCCAGGCATCTTGTCACACAGGCCTTCTCACAATCCGAAATGACTTACATCCAGGCCTGGACTGGATCCTGGTTTGAGGAGGGCACCCTCCGTAATTACATTCAGACCTTTTGAGCTTCAGCACCTTTTACTGAGATGCCCTTGCTCCAATGTGACAAGAAAACCTCAGGTAATTTTTCAATGGCTTTTTGTAATCTACGGAGTCCTTGTGAAACAGGGCGGAGAGGCCACAGAAGGGCAGCAAGGCAGGAGGCCGGATGGAAGGATGGAACGGCCAGCCCCTGCCCTGCCACCAAAAAGCCCCAAAAGGCCAAAAACCAAAGCCAGGAGATATAGACTAACACAGGACAGCGCCCGATGAGAGGACAGGTCACTGTCCATGGGTTCTCACCCGTGCACACGATTGCCAGAGACCTCAGGCTCCAGGGTGAGTCCTTTCGCCCTGTGATGCATGATGGAGTCAGGGCCAAGCAGAGGACCCTACAATCCAGCTCGTTGAGTGTACAAGTATACATGTGGGTGCTGAATCACCACCAGCTGACTCCCCCACCTGTGGGTCCTCCTCCTTCTGGGGACACCAACATCGCCTCCACATGGTGCCCGATTTCCTTGAATAACAGTACAGGGTACAAGTCAGAATCCTTGCCAGGCAGCTTCTAATCTCAGAATTGCAAGTCCAGGCTACAAACTTCTTCTCTACAGAGGGATGTAGTTTTCTTTGTGCCTATTCAGACTGGTTTAAAGTCCATGCAGAATTGACATCCTTAATTTCCCTGTTCTCGTATCTTTTTCAAGCCCCACTTCCTAACATCTAGTCCACAAAATGCACACATGCCATCATTTGGATATTTCAGACCGAAAATAATTAGACAAGCGAGGCCAAAGCCGAAGTTGTTATTTGGATTAGCAAGAAAATTGCTTTCATCCTTCCTTGAATCTGCAGTCACCTATGAATGAAGGCTAGGATGACATCCCTGCTGGGAGTTCTGTCTTTCACTGATGCACTCTGGAGTCAAACTTTTTCTGCACTGAAGCCATTTCAAAAGCATCAATAAGCAGAAATTTCCAAATAATTAAAACCAACAGTAATTACAAAAGGTTCACAACCGCCCTGTGGAATGGGACATTTGGCTAATGTTGTTACATCCATTTCAGTGGTAGTATTTTTATTTCAGGCTACAGGCAGGCTTTGTAAGAATGTGAAAATCAATACAAAAGGTTTGTCTGGGGTGACATGTTTGTTAATGTTTTATTGATTATGCTATTGGTTGTAAATTTTCTAACTTAATAAAGCTCAAGAATTTTTTGCAGTAAAAGACAGAGGTTATTTAATGAAATGGCAACTTAATGCAAACTACTAACATCAAACATTGTGATGGCTTCACAGTGACATCCATTCATCACCATGCAAGTGGGCATGATCACACACACACACACACACACAAACACACACACAGGAGAATATTATGCCATTGAAAGGGAAGGCTGACACACAAAAAAAATCATTTACACATGCACTAAAACCAAAAAAAAAAAAAACCAAGAAAAACCTGGCGATGTGCTCTGAATAGTAAAAGAAAGACTGAACATGCCGACAGCTGTGTACTTCATAAAAGGATACTAGGAATAGGTGCGTTTAAAGCTAAGCCAAGTTACAAGTGCCCATAATTCAGGCAGTGTTTGTTAAAAATCCAGGATAATCCGCTTTCTGTATCCAGAGTGAAAACACTGTGGATTAACCCAAAGATTTTGTGTATCACAAGTATTTACTTAACATACCTAAGAAACCACATAACTTCAGCCCAGGCCTGTTCATGTTCCTCCTTCCCAGGCCCAGCCTGTACACCCCTGTACCCACTGTACTAAGGTCCGGGACTGCAGGACTTCAGCTTCCTCCCTATCACGTGGGTTCTAGTTATCTCCTGAATGCAGGTCTCCAAGGACAGAACTGTTAGATTAAAAGTATGTTCCAGGGCCTCCCTGGTGGTGCAGGGGGTTAAGCCCAGCACTATGAGGCAATCCACAGCCTTTGCAGCGCGAGTTCGATCCCCGGCTGGCCAGGGAGCAGCCCACACGGTGAGGCCGCTGCTCTCCTGTCTAGCCCGCTGCTCCCCTCAGCAGTGTCAGGTCAGTCTGCCTGTTCTGCTCCCCACTCTGCCTCTGGTGAATCCTCTCACCCCCCACACCTCTGGCCTGTACCCCCAGTTCTTGTACGCATAAATAAATAAATCTTTAAAAAAAAAAGTATGTTCCAGTGACTCCTTCATAAAACAAGCTTGTCACTCTTCAAATGCAAATCCTTTCGGAAGGTGTAGGGTAAAGAAAATGTCAGGCTTTTCTGCCCTTCCGCCATCAGGATAGATGATGGATCCTTGTCCTGAATGCATGCCTGATGGCGGGCACCTGGAATAGGGTGTGGGCATAGGTAGATGGGATTCACCTGGGCTAAGACTGTGCTTTTAAGGGCGGCGTCACGGGGACGCCAGCAGCAGCAGTAGAAGCCGAAGCCGAAGCCAAAAGAGAAGCCGAGAAGCAGCAGAACGAACTCCAGAGAGCTCAGATAGAGTGAAGACTTGCTGGGGGCTGGGAGGCCTGCCAGCCTCCCAGCCCCCCAGCCAGCACCCCTGCCTGCCATATGCCTGGTGAACCCCAATAAAAAACCTGCAAAACCACTGAGGACTCTGACTCCTCCTTTACCCGGTCTGCATGGGATCCTAGAAAACCTGCACCGTGCCCAGTCCTGCCTTTACAATTGGCGTTAGTTGGCAAGATGATCCATGCAGACGGGTACTGGAGCCCTCCGAAGACCTGGAGGGACTAAGGAGTAACGGTGTTTGCCTGTGACGACGCTGGAGGCGCCATGGCGGCACAGAAGATGGATACGGTCCGGGAGCTGCAGGACGGGACCTGGCATGAAGGAGACACCCAAGAGGACCAGCCGACGACACCCGAAAGGACCGGCCAACGACCCCTGAGGCAGCAGAATCATCGGGGAGCAGAGGACCACGATTCATAGCTCGCCGGTGCTGATGCAGGGAGAGGCCAATGGACTTCAACTGATGGACTTGAACTGATGGACTCACACTGATGAACTTGGACTGACAATCCCGCCAGAAGGCGGAGGACCTTGCAGGTTAGTATGTTTTGGGACCCTGCGGGTGGAACAGTTTTGTTTGTAAACCCCAGGAGATGGGAATCTGGGGGTGGCCAGTGGGCCTTGATGGCCAAAAGCAGCCTGTGGATGCCCAGCAGCCAGGTGGAGGAGAAAAGCCAACTGAGAAGGCAAAAGCTGGTGCTGATGCTAAGTTGAGAAGCCCTGAGCGGCTGTTAAGCAGCCTGAGTATGGATCCCCGACCCATGTGCTTGTGCAGTGGGTTGGCCTGAGTGCAGGGGTCTGCGAGTCGCATGGGTGGCCATGAAGGCCGAGTGTTGGAGCGACTGCAGACAGAAACCCTGAGGGTTGGCGATTACCCCCAACAGAACAGAATCGCCAATCCCAGAGCGAGTGCATCCTGGGGGTGGATGCTGTGTGTGGCTTGTAGCCGAGACGACAGCCAGAGAAGGCCGGGAAGCCCGACGGCTCCTGGTGTGATACAATAGATGCCGTGAGTGGTTCCCCTCCCTCGTATGAGCAGAGCCTTCGGCAGCAGATTTGGTGGCTCATCTGCTGGTACCAATAATTGTCTTTTGCACTAGGTTGGTGCCCTGCCTGGTTATTTGTGTTCTGTTGTATTTTGTTATATTGTATTTTGTTATATTTGATGTATTTGCTTTTGTGGGCCATGGCTGCATTGTTTGTTTGCTTAGAAAATTGTGTATATATATATATATATATGTACAGACTGTATGGTAGAAAACCCTGAGGGGGTGGACTGTAGGGTAAAGAAAATATCAGGCTTTTCTGCCCTTCCGCCATCAGGATAGATGATGGATCTTGTCCTGAATGCATGCCTGATGGCGGGCACCTGGAATAGGGTATGGGCATAGGTATATGGGATTCAGCTGAGCTAAGACTGTGCTTTTAAGGGCGGCGTCACGGGGACGCCAGCAGCAGCAGCAGAAGCCGAAGCCGAAAGAGAAGCCAAGAAGCAGCCGAACGAACTCCAGAGAGCTCAAATAGAGTGAAGACTCCCAGCCAGCACCCCTGCCTGCCATATGCCTGGCGAAACCCAATAAAAAACCTGCAAAACCACTGAGGACTCTGACTCCTCCTTTACCTGGTCTGCATGGGATCCTAGTAAACCTGCACCATGCCCAGTCCTGCCCCCTACAGAAGGGAAATGCATATCACTGAATTCCATGTTCCTTTTTCACCCCTGCCAGAAAGCCCTGATGCACTGTCTTCTATCTTTTGCAGCATTCCTAGAATTACTTCATGTGATTCCACCTGGCCAAAGGTGTTTCCCAGTTGGCCACAGTGGAAGTCAGTGTGCACAGCTGCCCAAAGGGGACTTGCGTGGCCTTCGGACCACAGAGAGCACAGTGACACTGGGGATCATTTCCCCCGAGTGCAGTCTTGATCATTTTCCACTCTCATAACTAAACTGGCATTCATTTTTTTCCCTTCCAAATACCTTTCCTCGGGAAACAATTTAAATAACTGTTTTGTCATTACCAAAGTCTCTTGAATCACCAACTCTTCCAAGAAATTGTAAAGACCCTCATGGAACTCCTTCAATAAAGCATTTATTTCCTCAGAATAATGGTGGAAGGCGAAGAATTACCGTCCTGAGCATTCATTTCCCCAATTACCATCAGTGGGTTTTCTCTCTACCTGCCAGGTTAATAACCAACCTGTTTTATCACCTCGCCATATAAAAAGCCTCCTTATCTGGCAATTACCTTTTCTCTCTCTCTTTTTGTTGAATTATTTTTAACATGTCTTTTCAAGTCTTTTCAAACTTTCTAATGGAGCCCTCACGTGAATGTTTCAGGTTTTTTCCTTCCATTCTAAATCTCACAGAAGCTCTTACAAATTCTCAACAGTAATTCTCAATTAATAAAAACTTCACTGAGACATGACTTCTTTTCCTTTCCACTCATTTAAAAGTCTCCCCCAGTGACTCTCTAAAATATTTGGAAAACAATTTTAAAGTGAAAATAAATCTTTAAATATATAGCCATGAAACCAAATTCTCTTTGGGCTTGAACTAGTCTTAGTTATAAGTTAATGCTTCCTGAGAAGTCTTTCTTTTTTCCATCTTTCTATAGCTTTTACCATTCCATATATATTTTTTTTTTTTTTAAAGATTTATTTATTTATTTATACAAGCACTGGGTACAGTCAGAAGCGCAGGAGGGTGAGAGAATTCACCAGAGCCAGAGCAGGGAGCAGAGCAGGCAGAAGGACCGAAGTACACTGCTGAGGGGAGCAGCGGGCGGCAGGAGAGGTCTGCGCGCCATGCGGGACCCTCCTCCGGTGGCCGGGGAGCAGCGGGGATCGAACCGCCGCTGCAGAGGCTGCGGGCAGCTTCGCAACCCAGCGCTCAACCGCCGCGCCACCGGGGAGGCCCATTCCATATATTTTTTTTTTTACTTTTTAAAAAGATTTATTTTTATTTATGCATACAAAAACTGGGGCCAGAGGTGTGCAGGTGGTGGGGGGTGCAGTGAAAGGATTCACCAGAGACAGAGCAGGGAACAGAACAGGCAGACTGACTGAAATTCACTGCTGAGGGGAGCAGTGGACTAGACAGGAGAGGTCTGCTATGCCATGTGGGTATCTCCCTGGCCAGGGATCGAATTCCTCCTGCAGTGGCTCCGGATAGCTTCATAGTGCTACGACTTAACCCCTTGCACCACTAGGGAGGCCCTGTGAGTTTAATCTTAATGTCCCTGATTAGGAATGAGTGAAGTATATTTTATATATATTGTACTGATCTTTTTTTATTTCCTCTTCTGTGGATTGACATGTATTTTGCCCACTTTTTTTACCCATGGGGAAACTCAAGTTTTATTAACTTGAGAAGACTTCGACTTCCAATCTTGATAGAATTACAGCTGCAATCAGACACTGGGAAATAAGCAGTGCAAAACTGTGATCCCTGACAGAAAGATCAATGAAGTGAGTCCTAGGATATAAATTGATTTGTAGATATCAACACACACATCTACTCTGGATTCCTATCTATAATGTGAATCATATATGCTGATACAGTCTTCCAGTCTACAAGTTGGTGTCCCGTAACACAGAAATTTTAATTTTGATACTGTTAAATTATATGTATAAATTATATATGTTGATTTTCATAGTTTATCTTCCTCTGCCTCTTTCCACTGTTCTCAAAGTTATTTTTTAAAAAATCTATATTTTTCATATAATTTAAAAATTATGCCTTTAAAAGTTCTTTTGTAACTGGTATGAAGTAAAGAGATAATTTTACTTTCCATTAAATAGAAAGCCAGTGCTCTTAAAATCTGGGGAAAATTTCAGTTCTCGAAGTCACAGACTATTACAGTCAAAAGACCTGAAAGAATACATGTTCAATTTTCTCTTTTTCAGGTAAGAGACTTGGGGTCCAGAAAGATTCAGGTCTCTACCCAAGGTCACCAAGTTGGATAGCGGCCCAGTCAAAATCAAACCCAGGTAGGTCATCTCCCACCTCATCTCTCTCAGCCCCACGGGCCTCCTCTAAAGCATTTCACCAGATTTCACCTAAGTGCATCAAGCATCACAGGCACACTTCTTAAACCAGTTAAAATAACTATTCTAGTTTGCCTTACTGACTGAATGTATGCAACACACACACACACAGAGAGACACGCACATGAGTGCATGAATATGTGTTTGGTACAAAAAAAAAATTCTTAGTATGATCTTATTTCACTTACATTTGCTTTCGAGATCCAGTTCCCTAGCTAAAAATGATAAATGAAATTTGATTCAAATAGAATAAGAATATAATTCATTAAAATAGCAGGAGCTTTTTTTTATTAACCAGTCAATATAACCACTTCCCCAAAGAAAGAGCAGGGGATCTTGGTCGTCCGTGGCTGGTGAATGAACAGTACACTGCACAACCATCTCAGCAGTCAGACTAGTATGTATCGAGCAGAGACATATTTGGAGGAAATGCCCTCTGATTCCAAGATAATCTATACAACCTTAAATATGGAATTTAGGCTGGTTTGACATTGCTGCATAGAAGCATAATGCTCAGTTTAAATCTTCAACTTAGAAAAAAAATTTCCCCTTCTCTCAGAAATTAAACTATAAGGTAGAGGCTTCCCTCTATTCATACTTTCCTTATTGTTAATGGGAGACAAAGCATCCACACTTAACAGGAAATCTTGAGGGATGGAGAAGAGGTGAGTTAATTAGAATTTGAAGGTATGTTGCATATAAATGAGGGGGCTGAGGAGGAGCAGAGATGGTTAGGAATCAAGTTAACTCCAACAGTCATAAGGATACAGGGATTCTAGAACTAATCTTGGTGTTCAGACCCTGTGTCATTCACAAAGTAATAGGAACCCCAACAAATAGTGACTTTTAAAAAGGTGTGGGGGGATAATGGCAGGGGCTGGAGAGCAATGGAGTTTCTCACAAAGTCGAAAGACAGATGGTCCATGCTCTTTCTAGTTTTCCTTTTGCCATTTCCAGCATGTTTTTGGCTTATAGCCTCGTAATCACAACATGGCTGCTGAAACTCCATGCATCACATTTGGGATTAAGAGGGAAAAAGTGAGGAAAACAATGGTGCCAGTTGCATGGGTTTCTCTTATTAAAACTTTCTTATAAATCTCTAGTAAATGAAATTTGCCTTGTCTATTGGTTCAAACTGCTTCACATAACTATCTCTAGATAGAAAACTGTGGTAGGGGAAGTACAGATACTTCATTTTTCCAGTTGCTTAGATAGCCACAGCAAGTAGAGTCTGCTGCTGGGTGACCCTGTGCCTTCTACAGATTACAATACATAGATCTGGGATATAATTAATTCCAGGCCTTGTGACTCTTCTAGAAGTTACCATGCTGTCACTATTCCATGGCCTGAAGCCAAATTTGAGAAAAGAATATGAGTGTCTCTAAGCATCCACAGTTCTGATGGGGAGCTGACGGGAGGGTAGGGCAACTGAACTCCTGACTCAAGAGAGAATGGAGGTCTTCACCTATATTCTCCTTGGCCACAAGAATACGGTCTTGGACCAATTCTAGGATTTCGTCTTCATCTATAAACTGTGAATGGGTCCTTGCATGTTTTTTTGTTTTGTTTTGTTTTAAAGATTTGTTTTATTTTATTTTTATTTATACAAGCACTGGGTTTAGTCAGAAGTGCGGGAGGGTGAAAAAATTCACTAGAGCCAGAACGGGGAGCACAACAGGCAGACTGATGAAGTACACTGCTGAGGGGAGCAGTAGGTGCGGCAGGAGAGTTCTGAGCACCATATGGGACCCTCGCCGGTGGCCAGGGATTGAACCGGTGCTGCAGAGGCTGCCAGCGGCTTTACAGCCCAGTGCTCAACCGCTGCGCCACCAGGGAGGCCCGGTCCTTGCATGTTTGTCATGAGATTTCTCTGACACCCTGCAGTGGAGCTGTTATCACAGGAATGGAGAGAAACACACACCATCAGACAGCTGGGTTTAAAATAGACTTGGACACCTACTAACGGGGTGATTTTGAATGAAAGGGTCAACTCGAAAGAACACTTTTTTTACCTAGCAAAGGGGGTGGGAGGTAGGCAGTGATAGTTACACTCCTTCATGTGGCTATTAGGAGAAACAAGTAAAAACAAAATCTTGTGAAGCATTTATAACCGCACAGCCTGTGTAAATGCTGAGTAAATACCAGTCATTCTTATTGTTTAGGGAATGTACACGGTATTGATGTGAGGTATAACAAATAACAATAATTAGTTTTAATTAATAAATAATAATTAATTTCCCTAAACACAGTAAGAAGTAAGACTCTGGTGAGCTCTAAGGAGTTCTTGAAATGAAAAGAACTGTCTGGCTATGGCAGAGTGTGGGGAGATTCAGGGAGCAGGTAGAGGGGCTGCCAAGCCCCAGTAGGCAGCTGGGTTGCCCCTGTATTCTGCTGCCCCTGCTCATCCCACCAAGCCCATCAGCCCTGTAGAGACAAACAGAAAGCTCCCATGTCCTGGCTGAACTCTAGGGCTTTCTAGTATGTGGAAGGCATCAAGGATGTCAAGGAAGAAACATCTCTAGTCGGGAAGCAGAGCTGCCCATTGGCCCTGTAAAGTTGTGGCTGTTTTCTCTCCAGCTGACCCTATCTGGTGGCGAGGGCGTTTGGGGCTCACTTGTAAAGAGGGACAGGGAAACAGACAGGGCTGCCTGGAGACAAGGAAGAGGTACTCGGTGTTCAATATGCTAAACCAGATGACTCCTGTGTGGAGAGAGACAAGAGAGGTGGGGAGAGGCACCCTGTCCCCAACCCAGGGATTGCCCTGTCCTGGCATCCTGGGAGCTCCCCTGTGCAAGAGCGGAATTTGCCTTGGGGGATGACCAGAACTGCAGGACCCCTGGGCACTGTTGATACTGCCAGCAAGAACTAAGGGGGTCGGGTGTGGGCATCAGTTTTTCTTTGAATTTGGAAGCAACTGCTATGCCTTCTCACTGGTAAGAAAGTAAAAAAGAAATGCTTCTCTCAGTCCTGGATTTTCCATATTTAATCAAACCTCAGGCCCTAAGGTATGCTCTGAGCCTCCAGAGGATGGGAAGATAGTTTAATCTCCTAATTCAAAATGGAGCTGCTCCTGCCAAAGAACTTGCTGGAAGCTGCCAAGTCATGAAAGCAGAAGAACAGGTGCTCCAGACTTACAGAGCATTTGTACTCAGGGCTTCGTTATCAACCTGAACTCCTCCACAAAGCTCTTGGGCATGACTTTGACCTCATAACTTCTTAGAATACCTAATCACCATGCATAACATTCACAGGCCACGTCAAGACTGATTCTTCATAATAATGAGGGCTCATTCTCTTTGAATGCTGAACCCATGCTGGGCACTTGCTTTGCTTAACATTTCATAAATATCAACCACTTTTTTCTTCCTAAGCATCCTGCAAGGAGGTTCTATTTTAACTTCCATTTTAAGAATGTGAAAACTGAAATGTGAAGAGACAGTGTAACTGTCAAGAGCAGATTCTTAGGCCATCAAGACTTTCACGAAAGTCCATGAAGTGGAGCTGAAAAGTCATCTAACACCCTTATTTGCAGAAGAGAAAACTGAGGCCCAGAGAAGTAAAATGCTTGCCACGTGCACACAGCTCTTTAGTGACCCCCTGGGACCTGGAATCCAGCACTGGATTCCCAGTCTGTGTTTTCACAAGACAGTCAAACCTTTCTACCTGCCTTCTCGCATACATCCTCCACCCTCCTCACCCCCCCAGCCCCTGTTCTTTTTAAAAAGAAATGTGTTGCCAGATGTAGCCTCTTACTTTCCTGCTTAGCAAGACGAGGACAGCAGGCTTCTCTTGAAGCTGAAACCCCTTCCTGCAAGCCTTTCTAGCACGTTGACATTGTGTAGTCATAGTCTTTGAAGATCCCTTTCTTTCATCACTGCTCAAAAATAGCACCTGCCACAGTGGTGGCCTCAGAACTTCAGAGCAAGGATCCAAAGGAGAGCGCAAATTTCTCACCTGGTGAACTGACCTACATTCTGCTCGATTGTTTTTGGCTTAACCATTACCCCATGCCTCAGAGTCAAAAAGAAAAGAGATGGTGAGATACCAATGTTTATAGATTTTATGGTTCTGGTTGTTCCTGAAAATTAATAATTGTCAGGGAGAAAGTTAAAGATAAAAGAGTCTTCTCATCGAGTTGCGTTTACAAAAGCCCCGCCTCTGCTCATCTATCAGGAAGAAGACATTTTCAAAACGATGACTTGTGCATTTCTCAGAGGTGGACCATCTGATCTGGCTCAACTTCCCTTTTATTATGATGTGTTTGGGTCAGGTTTTATTTTATGACAGAAAACGTCTAAATTGAAGGCCATATCTTTTTTATAGGAACAGATTGTTATATGAACAAAAGTCATCAGTTTCTCTCTAATGTTCAAAATGCTTCATATTATCAGATGTAATTGCAGAAACAAAGCTTTTCATAAAACCTGAAATAAAGCTGTTGTCAAAGATACTTAACGACGTTTCTAAGGTCACATTATCTCCCTATTCCTTTAACACTTCAGCTGTAAATCCTTTTGGAGAGCTTCAAAAAGACATTTGCTTCCTTCTCATCTCATCATTTAGTACGTTTGGCAGCTGTTGAGTTTCATTTTCTAACATGTTTCCAATGGAGATGTACATAACATGGCTTGTTTAATATAATTTGTTGCTTATGCTTCAGCATTCAAGGTATTATATGCCTAAATGTGCAGAGAGGGACTGGGTGGATGACTGTTTCTGTTATTCTTTGCTTTCTTTTTAAATTTTTAAATCAACATGGGTTTTCGGCATTTTGCAAAATGTAATCAGCACTGATAGAGTTTGCACACCTCAGCAAAGGAATGACACTTCTTCAAACCTCTCCAAACAGTTCCCAGACCTCAAATTGCTATCATAAAAGTAAGGCAGGTAAAGCCCCAGCATAATGAATTCAATTTCAAAAGAAGTTTCTGTTTGGTGAAGCA